AATCTCTATTCTTTTCTTATTATTTAATCATTTCTATTTGACAATAAGAAATAAGAATGAAATTCTCTCCATTGTACTCATCATTCTTATAATTATGCTTGTTAACAATCAAGTAGACAATAGAAAAATAAAATAAAATCTTGTTCATTATATCATAACAAATGTAAATTTTTAGTAAATAAATTTGATAAAATTTAGTGGGTGCCTTTCCATAAAATGTATGATTAAAAAGTGAATAAAAATAATTAAATAAAAATGAGTGATCAAAAATAAAATTTAATCAACTTTTTAACAAAACAACTTTATCGAACAAGCTATCGATCTCATTAGTACTATGTTGATACAATACACGAAAAGTTAATAATATTTAAAAAAAAAATGAAGCTAAAATTATAAAATTAAGAAAAAAAATAAAAATTGGCCTTTATGTCATATTTCTTCCAATTAAGTAAATAGAGGAGTATGATCTCCTATTAAGGCTAAAAATAAGCAGACATTTTTATGAAAAATTGACGTAACGTAACCACTGTGACACTGTCCGTCCGTCTGTATGTGGCGAAACCCAATCCCTATTGGCTATGTACCACTTAGCTACCTACATAAATTTACATTTGAAAGATGCCGTGTTTGGTTGGTACAAGAAAATTGACTTATAAATGAACTTTTTTAAAGTATGAACTTTCTTTTCAGTGACTGTGCATTAAAATAATGATAAAAATTGCAGCTGCGGTCCCTTAATCTTTTCATTTTTTGTAAATTTTATCCTAACCTTCATTTTGTGCCAACGGAAGACTCTAACCTTTCATAAATATGCACCTGAGGTCCATCTGAAAGGAAACCATCCGAAACATCGTCAGCTAACCAGGAAAATTCCTTGAGCTATCTGCTATCGCGAAAGTTTAATTGGATATTGATACCTTTCTGGACGGTGTTTTGGATGGTTTTCATTTAGATGGACCTCAGGTGCATATTTATGAAATGTTAGGGGCATTTGCTGGCACAAAATGAAGGTTAATGTAAAGTTTGTAAAAAATGAAAATGTTAGGAATCGCTGCTACAATTTTCCCTAAAATAATTTATAAAGAGTTCGTGATAAGATGAAATGACTAGTGTGTTTCTCATTAGATCCAAAAAAATAACTGGCAATGTCTATTTATTTTTGATGAGTAAAGATGACAAGTTTTTTTATGCTAATGGCAAACAGACCCTAACAGAGTAGTTGGATGGGCTTTAGTTTATGGTTTGAATTTTGGAAGCATGCTTGAAGTAAGAGAATATTTTTACAGCCTAAGAAAAGTAAGAAGAATTGTCCCTACACTACACATGATCTTCATGTGTCCATTAATTATATTACACTCTCTCTTTTTCCAATATGTTATATTCTTGGAAATTTCATCCTTTTAGTGCAAGTTATTGTAAAGATAAAATTTGGATGAAAATAACATAAAATTGCCTAGAAATTATGTTATTGAAAATTGTCAATTATTATGTTTGATTGATATAAATTTTTTATATGAAAAATGTTAAAATAAAAGTGTTTTTTCAATTAAAGGGATAAATTTACTGGTATTGAGAATGAAATTTGTTTCCAGTGTAAAAAAAAAAAAATCATCTATCTTTTGGTATTCGTTTGTCTTTGTTTTACATGAAAATTTTCAATTAAAGAAAAAAATCTTTTATAATTAGGGATATAATTTGTTTCCATTGCCAAAATAAAATAAAATCGGCCAGCAGTCTAGAAAATGAATTCTCATCACTTTGATGAGAATTCATTTTCCTCAATTTGGTGCAAAATGGCTTAGGTGGCATCAAAGTGGAAAAATGAATTCTCTCGAAAAATCCTATCAAACGTCCATTTTTGGTTTATGGTGAAAATCAAATTCCATTTTTCATGGAATTCATGCCTATCAAACATGGCCTAATTTTAAATTCTTAACATTCGTATCGGCTTATCAGTGAGTAGGGGCATAAATGTTAACTTCATTGCATGAACGTGTTTATTATTTGTAGAATAAAGCCACTCGATCTGCATAGATGACACCCTTGATGACCGCGCTCCTCGCATGAAATGTGTAGGTCCCATGCGAATAAAATAATCTCGACCCCATGTGTATGTTTGCGATCATCCACATGAATCGTGTAACGCGGTTGATTATTTGTATACAATCAACTATTGTTTGAGAGAAAAGTTGTATTTAGGTTAAATTGTCCTAATTTTCTAGCATCAAATTAATAATATCCACTGCAAATTCTCAAAATCTCTCCGCTGTGAAAGACTCAAGAACTTTCATTAAACAAACAGAGTTATTCAATGATTTTTTTAATTAATTATTAATATCGATTGCGAAGTTCTAATGCTTCAAGGTTCATTACTAAGGTGGGGGCTCTACTTGAGCTTGTGATTTGGCTTATATTTATAAACTGTTTAAAAATACTTAATTCACTTTTTATCGACATATTCGAGAAGTTCATAAGTATCATTCATTTATTCATCACTTATTATTTAAGTCGTTAACAAACACTTTTTAAACATTGTAGTTTTAAGTTTTTATCTTAAGTTAACTTTTACGAAAATGAAATCCTTTTATATAATTACTTAAATATAAAGTTCGTCTATGGTTGAAAAACAAAAGAATCGAAAATTTTTATTTGGTTAATTTTATTCATTAGGGGCCATTTTCTTGATTCTTACCGACACAAGGTAGACAAAATTGGTAAACAAACAGACATGTAACAAGTTTATTAATACAATTCTAAACGGAGAAATCTATGTAGTCCCAATAAGTTTGTCTATGAAAATAATTAATTATTTTTGTATATAGCATTTTATCCTCAACTTTTTCACATGAGTAAATTGCCTTGTTTCCTTCAAAAGGGAAAAGGTAAAGGTGCATTCTTTATGGCTTTTGATTTTGGCATGGATCCTATCAAATTTTGGATTAACTCGAAGTCATAAAATTTTTACCTACTTTAAAGCAATAATCAAGAAGATGCCACGCTTAACCATACTTTTTAGATGCGACTCAAAAATTAATATGAACAAAGAGGTGAATTTAGCCGATAAGTGGTTCAATCGATAACCCTATAATAGTTCATCAATTCAACTCATGTTAAATATTTATTTTTACATTTTACAAAAATTGTACCAATAGTTATTATTCGCAAATTTAGTCCCACATTTGTTTTTCCCAATTATTGCTCCAAAAAGTAATGTTATTTATAATCACTTACTGTGGTAGTCATCCTGCGTGACATCTTATATAGCAGCTTGTGATTTAATGTATAAATGAAATAGTTTTTCTTGCCTTATATATCACATCACTAACTGTTACATGTATGACACGTATGATGACTGCGATAATGAGTAAGTGCAAATAGCATTACTGTACTCCAAAACTCAAAAAGATCAAAGATTTTCAAGATGAATTAAAAAAAAATCATGTTAAAAAAATTATTAGCAATTACAAAAAATGAAAATTGAAGCTCATAGTTGTCAGCTTTATTCAAATGCTTAATAAAATTTGAAATTTTCTATTAGTAATGTGGTAAAGGAGGAGAAAGTGTATATATCATTGTAAATTACGTTATTCAATTATGTTTGATTCAGTATATTTAACATGCTTTAAGAAAATAATGGACAAAAATAATAATAATGTTCGATAATATTCAAATTATACAAACTCAATTTCCATATAATACAAGCTATAAATATTGCTACAAAATTACCTAAGTGTACGGTAACATGTATTTAATTCATGGAACTTTAGGGCAACTCCAATCCTTCCATCATTTTACCATTTTCCATCAAATTTCATAATTTTTCACAAAAAATCACTCCAACCCAACACCAAATCTTGCATCATATTTAGTGCAATACTATTCACTTGCACCATTTTACACCAAATGTGATAAAAGTCTATTTTGCCCTTTTTTTTAACGTATGACCAAGTTGATATGAAGGGTATTTGTATCATTTTACATCATACACAAATTTTAATTCATAATTAAGTAGTTAATAAATAACAACAATAACAACAACAACAACAACAACAACAACAACAACAATAAGAATAATAATAATATTGATGATCATCATTTATAATAAACTTTAATCCGTAATTAATAATAATAGATGAACGAATTAAAATAAAAGTATTCAAAACGAAATGCATTATTTGAACATTTGTGATGAATATATGAATTCCGATAATTAAATTAAACACTAGGTCGACTTCTCCATACCATAATTTCGAGATTCATATTTTCTTGCTTGTGGTGTTTTTATTAATTGTACTACATTTTAAAAATATATTAAATAATTTCATATTTTTGTAAACAAAATGTAATTATGTATGTAATAAAAATACCATTTTTAGCTATATAAATTGTTAAACATAAAAAAAATTAAGAAAATGACTAAATACTATCCATTTGGTGTAACTTTTGGGTAATGGGTTAGAGATGATTTTTAGTTTGGTGCAAAATGGAACAAATTTTGGTACAAGGTTCGAGATGATTTTACTATAAAAAAATGTTTATCCAAATAGTTCTATACAATCCAGGTTTCAGTTCTTCGAATCAGAAAATCAAATTGTTTGTTGAATCGAGTTAGGACTAAATAGAATTTATTTTTTTCTGAATTTTTTGAAGGGTACTATAGAGTTATGGGTGGCGAAAAAAGATATTTAATCAATAACATGAATTTCTAGAAACAAAAAGAAAAAGAATTACTCACACACACACACACACACACACACACACACACAAAAAGGAGTTGTAACTCAAAACATTTCATAGGCATAATGCTATTTAGAGTTTGGTTACTATAGTTTCAATCTTTTTAACTGGACACGTGTAAGGTCCAGACCAACTTTATTTTACAAAAATCTCAAATTCCTGTCGCGTGATCCGAACTCGGATTTCAGGCCACTCTATGCCACGTCAAAAGACACATAGAACGCCACGTGAGAATCCAATCCTAATCAGCAAACTACATCCTCTATATAAACCACACTAGTTTCTTTGGCCTCACAAAAGCACTTGGTGAAGGATCAACCAATCAGAAAATACACGCCACACACAGAAACACCAAATTAATTTACTTTTCCAGCCGGCGATATCTAACTCGCCGGAAAATGAATATTCCGGCCGACGATTCTGATTCCTTGCTCCACGAATACTGTCCTCTTGCTTCCTTACATCATAGTAACGTTTTACATGAGAAGTCCTAACCAACTCCACCAAAGAACTCATTTATGTTTATAGCAAATCGGAGAACTAACGGATGATTTTCTTTTTCTTTTCTTTTCAGTAAATATTATATGTTTAATTATTGTGAGTTTTTGTTCGATCTCTGAGAAATGATGATGATCGGAGAGAAAGAGCAGAATTTGAAGCCATTGGTATTGGGAAATTTTTCGCTTTAGTTTTGAGTATTTGCTTTTGCTTTTGATTTTGATTCCCTGACACGCAAAGCTAGTACTGTACTTATTAAGAGCTCTGAGAATTCAACTGACGTAACAGAGACTCAGAGAGTATAATCAAGCGCAGTACGATTTTGTAGAAAATGCCTTTTCCGATGAGAATTCAACCGATCGATTCGCAAGAATACAGAGAGTCGTCCATACGCAACGACGCCGTAAAGCCGCCTGTGTTTAAGTCGAGGCTAAAGCGGCTTTTCGATCGGCCGTTTAGAATTTCATCGGCCGAGAAGCTAACCGCCAGTGGAGAGAAGGATGGAGAAGCCGCCGCACCGGATTTTGAGCCTAGCTCTGTTTGTCTGGACAAAATGGTTCAGAATTTCATTGAAGATACCCATGAGAAGCAATCGGCGGCGGCGTCTGCAGTCGCTGTGAAATGTGGCCGCAATCGCTGCAATTGCTTCAACGGTAACATCAATGACAGCTCCGACGATGAATTTGATTCTTTCTTTGACTCCACTCCTAACTCTTCCTTCAACGACCCTTCCGAAACACTCAAGGTACGTATTATACTCTATAGATTCTCTGATACATATAGTCTTTTGCCTCTACATCAGTTTACATTGATGGTTTTATGGTGTTTTTGTAGAGTTTGGTATTATGTGCGAGTGTTGTGGAGAGGAATCTGCTAGCCGATATTTCGAAAATTATGGAAAAGAACAAAACTTCTAAGCGCAAAGACGATTTGAGGAAAATCGTCACCGATGGTCTACTTGCTCTTGCTTACAACGCCTCCATTTGTAAATCCAAATGGGAAAAGTCTTCCTCAATCCCAGCTGGTACGAAATTCATCAATTTTTATTCATATTATGATCAGTTTTAATTGCCGATCTAGAATCCAATCATTTATAGCCGTTTCTATATGTGTAGGCGAGTACGAGTATATAGATGTGACAGCGGAAGGGGAGAGGCTGATAATTGACATAGATTTAAGATCGGAATTCGAAATAGCCCGATCAACGAGCAATTATAAGGGTATTCTACAGTCTCTACCGAACATTTTCGTCGGGAAACCAGATCGGCTTCTCCAAATTGTTTCGATTGTGTCGGATGCCGCCCTGCAGAGCCTTAAGAAGAAAGGCATGCATATTGCGCCATGGCGTAGAACTGAATACATGAAATCCAAATGGTTCAGTCCTTACACCCGAATCAGGATGATGCTCCCATCAAACGATGCCGTTGAGGTACCGGCCGTCGCCGAAGCTAAATACATACCTGAGGCTGAAGAGGCTGTAAAGGATGAGGCAGAGACGGATGTTTTGGAGGGTGAGTTTGGGGAACTGGATTTAATTTTTGGAGAGAGAACGTGGTCTTTGCAGTCTGACTATGAGGAACCTAAATTACCTTCAACTCCGGCAAAAAATTCCGGCGAGGATGAAAGGCTTGTTTTCCCGCCGTCGATGATGTGGCAGTTACAGGCAGTGAAGCCCAAGATTTCCGACGCCGGAAACAGGGTGGTTGTTACCGGATTAGCTTCACTCCTCGAAGAAAAACTTTGAAAATTTTGTTAACTTTTTTTTCTAAGAAATTCCTAACTCTTCTATATAAATAAATACAAAAAATATATACTCCGTATATGAAATCGGAGTTGAAATTGAGAATATTGCACCAGTTTTGTTTATGCAAGAATTTCCCTTTGCAAAATTTAGAACCACCTGTAATAATATAAGAAAATAAATAAATAATATGATATGATTGTGTATATTCATAGCAGTTGTGTCCTTGGTAGGAAACACAGTGGATAAATAATAATTTTTATTTTATTTATTTGTTGGATGGGCTTAAATGTTTATGGGGAGCTGTAAAATAATCGGGGAATATAGTGGGAGAAGAGAAGGGAATGGGTGCACCGCGTGGGGTTTTGGGATGTGATGGAGATGACGGCAGGCAGGCTCCTGCAGTTTCGGACGCCGTGAAGTGAAGTGATGGACTAAATAAATTTTGATAAAAGATATTCGTTAGAAAGTGATGTATTTTAATTTTGATAAAATATGTCGTTCAAAATTAATTATTAATTTTAATTTTAATTAGATTTTTATCTAACTCGAACAAGAACTTTGATGCTTGTGACGTTTCAGTGTATCAATCCCTCACAATAAGGGGGTCCACGATGAATAAAAAAATCATGGGCCTCCTTTGTGAAGTGGTCAATCAACATCGATGTACGAGTAGAAAAATTCATCGGACAAAGACTATTCATTATAGAAATTTTGGTGTTACATTTTTTGTTTTTTTAAATCAAATTATTGCGTGCAAACAAATATGATGTCTATCAATGTGTTTCGTCACGAACAAGCTAGATATATTTTCATTAAATAGCCTAATACTTGATTTTTATTTACGTAAATTATTTTATTAATGTATAAGGTATGCTTTTAAACTTCTAGAAATGCATGTAGAGGAAGATTATTTTTTCTTTTTTCTATCTCTTCTTATTAATTACATATTTTTAATAAAATAATATTACACGTATATCTAAATTTTTTTCTTTTCTTTCTACTTATATATTCTTCAAAATATTACTATTCGTTCGATTAAAATTTAAAATAATGAAGCCCAAAATGGACTTAAATTTGCAACAGTACAGATTTGGACCAGTTGGCTTTGGCTTTGGCTTTTGTTTGTTTATTAATTTTTTATTATTTTTAAATTTTTTCAACTTTTTAACTTTATCCAGACAAGTGCGAGTGGGTCACTGTAAAAAATTGAAGGAGTTTAAAAGGAACTTTAACACGTGGTAAGATTTTGTAAATTTTGGGTGCCATTCCAAGTAAAGAATATTGACTTTATGGGTTTTGTTACTTTGTACCATTGACTGTTTTCTGGCTTAATAAAAAAAAATAAATTGAACTCCAATCTTGAGGGTCTTTATCGTTCTGTCCTTAGAGTTTTGTGAGGAAGGTAAATCGTAGGATGTATCTCAGCAGGTTAGGGAACAAGAGCTGTCTGTACACTGCGCCTATAAAGAATCCAATTCCATGTTTCAAGAATCGAACCTCCACACTGCGGCTGTCAGTAAGGCGTGAGATAACCTCACTCCTGTCCTTTGCACTACTAAGTTATGCCCCGAAGCGTTTTTTGGCTTAATCTCATTGGATAACATTCACACAGTTTAGTATTGATTCTAATTATGATTAAGTTTAAAGTATTCTTAACGTCGTTGTTTAGTTGTTTTGGTGACTTCTACACTACCTAATAACACGTTAGTAATTGAATTATGCAGCATTAAATATTATTAAGAAGAAAATTTAAAATTGTACGTTTTTTTATTAACTTGCAAATTTATTGATCAACAAATGATATATTGAGATTTGATTGAAACAAAATCTCACAAATTAAATAAAAAAAATCCTTATTATTAATTCTTTTTGCCATTAATCCACAACCGTTTAAGTAATGAAGAGATTTTGGCATATTTATTTCAATTTATTGCACACGATCAATCTGTAAAATAATATGTAAATGATATTCGATAACAAACATTTTCCTTACAGATTAGACTGTTTTTCATTTTTAATATAAGGGTTCGTATGATAGTTCCATGGAAAATATCACATTCAAGTAATTCGTTTTTTTACTTTAACTGTTTGATACGAAAGTGAAAATGAAGTTCGAGTTTCAAGGTACAAATACTTAAAGCATGATTTTGGCCAATCAAGTGAAAATCGAATTTCTATGGCTTTAATGGTTTTTTCTTTTTCAACTTCCATAAAATTGATTTTGCCGTTTCCATCTTCACAATCAAACGGAACCCTAAGAATTTTCAATTCATTGTATTTGGATTTTCATGTTCATCCGAATTAATTGTAGGATATGCATTATTATTACGAAGAAACATTTAGATGAATAAATTTGATCGTATAATCTTCGTTTTCAGCCTCATTCAACGTATACGTTATTAAAGTATATTCGATATGTTGAGTTGAGTGTCAGTTAATTGTATTTGATTTTACACAATTTGATGTTAAATATACAATTAAAACTCCACAATTCACATGACACCGCGTATGATGTTTATTATTTCTTTTACTAAAAGCTTTTAGGCATATTCCATGAATATATTTCACCTCATGACACCAAATTATTAAAAAACAATCCACCTGGGCTTTGGTTTTTTCTCTATTTCTTTTATGTCATTATAAAAAAAGAATTATGTTACGCGTACACTATTTTTAAACCATGGACCTGTTTAGTAGTGATTTTGAAAATTGATTTTTGACCTTTAGGAGGAAAATGGGGACCACCTATGAGAGAAGAAGTCAAAAATTACGATTAAAATAATGAAATAACGATAAAAAAAATTAATTTTTTGGAGTGAAAAATCATTCCCAAACTAGGCCCATATTTGACAGTCTTCTCACATAATACGAATGGATCCTGCGATTAGATAGGTCCACTCGTGTGAGTGGACTATCAAAATGAGTGTACATCGTAATTATATAAAAAAAACTTTTTGACACTAAATTGGGTTCAGAGTTCAGGTCAGACTCCTCAGATTAATTAATTAATCCAAAAATGAGCAGAAAATAATAATTGTTTTTAATAAGCAGAAATTTGATATGCTGACATGACAATTTGATGACAGTACAATTATTATCATTTTTTATTGGGAAATTCTCACCCACAGTCTTCAATAGTTACTACTTGTTTCATTTGGATCCCTATTCATTTGTTTTATTGCATATACATCCCAAAGTTCACCCTTTTGTGCACATAAGGACAAATTTATAGAAATTATTCAACTTTCAGTCAAATAATCACTTAAAAGCACGTGATCCATTCTTTCGATGGTATTCTATCTACAAATAACCTAATTCATCCATTATTTTAAGTGTCTATTTGACAAAAAATTAAACAATTTCTTTTGAAGACGTAAGTGCGATAAAATGATGAATGGGGATTGTGAGTGATAATTTCCCTATTTTAATTTTAGAATTGTTATTTATGGGTCTTATAATCAATTATATTATGTAATTTAATTATATGTACAATGATTGTGATGGGGTCAGTTGGGAGAAATAAAGTAAAGGAATGCTATATGGGGTCACTTTCTCTATTTTTTTCTCTTTAAATTTTAGTGGAATTGAGGTCTCTTTCTCTATACAAAGCCAATAATAAGAGCAATTTCCCAAAGTTTTGACAATTATTACACCTCATGAAAGCAACCCCCAACAACTCCTCCTCTCTCTATGTATATATGTGGATAATTGCAACTGCGACCTCAAACATTGTTATTTGAAATTGGAGCAGTGGGTCCGAGATCAATTACTTTTCATTTTTAGATTCTCAAATCTCTCTCTCAATATTGTCTTTGTTTGGTGGGAATTAAAATTAAATTTTAATAAAAGTTGATAAAGTTCTTGTTCGAGTCTCATTATTTTCAACAGTGATTTGATTATACATTTTTTATTAAAATAATATTACAAGCAAATTTAAAACTTTTCTTTATTTTTAACCACCCATTTTTTATTAATATACTATTCAAAAATGCCTTTTTTATTGGGCAAGAATGGGGCTAAAATAAGGGCAAAATGAGTGAAAAGTTGTGGATCTCATAAAATATGTAGTTAAAATTAGAAAAAAAATGCAGTGTGGTCCACGAACATTGTTAATTTTTGGATACTAAAGCTTTTTTAACTACGATTTGGTCCTTATCCGACAAATAAAGTAAAGAAATTGCTTCCAACAATTGTAATTAAATCGAGAGAAAATTGACTATTTCCATCCAATAAGGATCAACTTGCATTTACATTCAAAATTTGAGGATCTGAAAATTGGAAAATTTTGATTGAGTACTCATGTACTTCAATTGGTAATGTTTGGGAACGGACATCTCTCTCTCTCTCTCTCTCTCTCTCTCTCTCTCTCTCTCTCTCTCTCGTTCTCTATTTTTATTTTTTTTTAAATTCTATATTTTCTTAATAAAATAATTTTATACCTCAACTTAAATTTTTTCCTATTTTTTAATCACACATTTTTGAAAAAAATTAAAAATCACTGTTATATAATTTATGTACCTGAAAAATATATCTCAATCATAGCAAGGGTCAACCAAAGGTATTAAAATATTGCTTAGGGAATATTTATCTCTAAATATTTATTGCCTCGTTTGACTTAGGTCAAAATTAAAATTTAGTAAATTTTGAAAAAAATTGATAAATTATATGATTGAAAAGTTGTTAATTTCATTGTAGTTAAATATAAATTTGAACTTAAACGGGATTTCCGAGGCCACAAGAAACCAAGCAACACTAATAAGCAATTGGATATAAAGCAATAGTTAAAGATGTAAATGAATAGTTTTCTTTTATGATTGAAATTTTTACTTTTAAATAAAATCGTTCAACACATTATTAAAATCAAGCATTCAAAATTTAATTGTTTTACGAGATCGAGTTTCTAAAGAATAATCAATATGCTTATTTTGCAAAAGTCTTCCAACAATTTTAAATTTTAAATAAAGTAATCGGACTTATAAGGAATTTATTTTCAGCCTTCTTTTGAGAATATTTTATAAACGGTTTATTTATAAATAGATATAAATAAATGATAAATATATAAAAATATTTTTATATTTATTGAAGTGTGTATTAATAGCACTTATTCCGAGGTTTGTAACATACGTGGGAGGACATTCAAAAGTTTGAAATTACCCACTTCGATAACGTTTATCCATTTAATTTCCTTTTCCTTGTTTCTTTATTTTCTTTTGGTATTCCTTTATTCGTCCAAATCACATATTATAGTAACATGTTCGTTGAAGCAAC